ACGCAAAATTATGTAAGACTATTATTTTTTTATGAAAATATGAAAAACAAAATGAAATCTGCGTGAATCCAACGTGAATTTTCACCGTATATCTTCTTATGTTTACCGTACGCAACACTTTCAGTATAAAGAATATTGAATTTATCCGTATGTGTAAATGAAACAAAACAAGTTCAAATCCTTTGAAAGGGAACTAAATCTAGCAATTGTTCCCCATTAGCATATATACATAGAATGTATCTAGGCCAGAGTACAAATGTTAAATGGTCTCCAGTTTAATAAGAGATCAGTGAATTATCTCAAGACAAACGAACGAAGCTAGATAGATAAATGATCATCAATGTGAATGTCAAGCTTGAATACATTTTTGGGTAATGCGAAACTGATGATGAACTGATAAGCAGTATAAAATATTTGTTATTAACGTGTCCATCAATCGGGAATGCATTCTTAGACAGATCATATTATTATGCCATGTATTAAATCCATGTCGGGCAAACATTTGGCAAAACATCGTATCCCTGAACGAATCGAAGACATTTCATAATCAAATTATTTATCAAACGATTAATGAGCTAATAATGAGGTTATATTCGATCTCTATCCTTGTTAAATGCAGCTCTGGGTTTTGTGATTCATTTTATTTTCTCGTTTCGGAAAGGAAGAAAACTACTTCCGCCTTAAGTTGTATATATAAGCGGAAAAATTACAGCAATTTAGGACAGAGGAATATGAATTTCATAGGGGCTCGTAAAGTCTATATAATCAATTTCCAAAATCATATGGGATTGTCGATATCGATTGTTACGTCATCAAGCAATCAATTTATAATGTTCTTATACTCTACGCCAGTTATGAAACAGAACATAGTACATGGTAAGATTGGCCGAACGGATAAAAAACGCAAAATAACCCGAAATAGACCCGTGAACTGAGAGCTATTTTCACTATAGATTTAACTCCGTCTGTACTACGTTTACGTGGCGAAAAGGTGCAACTTTAATAGTTTATGCTGACAATCAATGAAGCATTGTGTTGAACTACGGTCGTTCTTTGCCTTACTATAGTGTTTTTACTTACTGTTTTCGTTAGCATCGTATCGTTACTTTTTTAGTCTCCCAAAATATTAAATTCATTGGAAGAAGAATTCATTGCTTTAAGAATTAAAATGTTGATGTTGAAAAAGGAAAAAGGAAAAATGATGACAGCGATGAACTGAAGAAAATAGAAGCATAAAGAGGTTGCAAAAGATAACGAACGGATATAAGCTATCGAGGAAATGTTTTACAAAAACATAGCAATGTTTAAAAGAATGAAAAGCACATACGAACAATGACTAATCTTTGTTATTTTATATGGGAGTTGATGTAAGTTTTACACAAAAGAAAAAGAATAAAGCGAGATCTAAATTTTAAAATATATTATGCTGCAATATACTTGTCCGCCAATATCCCATTCGGTGAGTTGAACTCGTAGCCCGCCCGGATAAAAGTCAGATATCCTATCCACTAGACCATACGGAATGCTTAACTGCCTCGAAGATGTTTCGTATTGAAGCTATTAATTATTAGCTGAAATTAATAGTTTTAATATAAAATATAAAATTGAAAAATTTATAAAACGATGTAGAGAGAAAGGTAGAGAAAAAAATTAAAATAACGTAAAAAATAACCATATTAGTAAAACACAGATAAGAAAACTTATATCCAATTGTGATCCGATCTTTTATACCCATCATCTTTATCTTAGACGACAGCTAAAGAAAATATCAAAAAAAATTAAATTCTCAAACTTTATAATAGTGCATGGGCGTGATTGGTTTTAGCTATTTTTGCCCGAATATTTTGTGGAAATTTTCATTTTTACGAACGAGAGAATGATTGCCGCAAAAATTGGACAAACGTACACGCTTAGGTGCATTCCGAATTTGACGCCGATCAACTATGCGTATACTTTGTCGGATCTTTGAAACTTGCATCTGGGCGTCACAAGTATGCAAATTCGATTATAGCCTGATCTGTTGTCTGCTGTTTGTGTGGTAATGAGCAAATAACTTTTGGTTTTTTTTCCCTTTTGAAAACGCAGGTGTTCTCAGTTTACTCGATATTGAAAGCTTGTCCTTCAACCGAATTGACCCATTTCCAATATCAATTTGCATACAAGACTCGACGTCAAAAGGAGATGCGGATAGTCATACAGACTACGATTTAGCTAGTGATTCTAATCAATATCCTGTATACTTTATCGCATCCCTACAGTGTACTTCTACATGTTGTAAACGTTTCCACACAAAGTGAACGCATTCCCATTCTCCAGTGTTGTCTTTGAAAAACAGATGTTTTCGCTAAAGAAACAACTTTTGATAGCTGCTTTGTCAAATAGTTGCATATCGATTAATTGCACCAGATTGGTTATAAATGTTTCTTATAGGGTGTCTGTTAGATGATTTACGAAATCGATCCGTCTTGTTCTCTTTTGTTCAACCTACAAATCGCAATTTTTCGATATATTTTAATCAAATTTGATATAACGATATATTTTAACTCAAGGACGAACCCTATTGGAAATGATTCGGATCGGATCACATTTTCGACCACGTCCCACATATAACAATGTATTTTGAAATTTCGTTATATGAATTATGTATTAAGCAAACTGATGTAGGGCATCTAATGGCTAAAAACCAAATCGCAGTCAAACAGTTTGTTTCTTTTCCTTTCAAGTAAACGTTTCAGCAATACTATGCTTCCATGTAGCGAAAAAGTTTTGAATTTTAAAAAAAAAAAATAAAAATAAAAATAAAAATAAAACAGATCATCATCATGATTGCGCTTAGTAGTAATACCCGAAAATGAAATGTCACCTAAAGGGCAGGTATCACGCAAGCAAATGGTAAATAAGTTATGCATGATAAATTTTTCAATGAATATTTATTAAACCTATATAAATGAAAAACTATTATCTCGTCCTGAAAATGTGAAATTCGATACAGCACCTGGATGGCCCAGAGGTATATTTAATTTTCAAATAAACAAAATTTCATTATATAACATTTTTATTACATAAGAAAAAAAAAAAACAAAACAAAAAAAAGAAAAACGAAAAACGAAAAATCTTAAAAAATGATTGTTAAAAAGGAAGGAAACCACTTAAAAGTAAACAAGAAACAACAACAGCGAAAGCAATAAAATTTTATATATTGTATTTTAATGTAGACGATAAAATTTATTGTTGGTTAAATAGAAAGTCTATTGAAACTAAACAATAAATTTATATTTTATGCAATTTATTTATTGTATTATTATATAATAAATAATTTCAAATTTTCAAAGCTATTGTTAAATATTTCTCTGCATATTGCATATGCATTATGAAAAGAATGCTTTTCATAGCACTCACTTCGCACCCACACTACGAAGAAATCTCTCTTCACATTAAATAAGTCAGAACATAATAAAATTATTAAAAAACATGATTCTAGGGAAATCATCTGCAATTGAAATACATATTAAATATATCAAATGTAAAATAATAGCATAAAACCGTAAATCCTTTTGCTGAGAGATATTTTAAACTTCAAGTTAAAAATTGAAATTAGATTTCGCAATGAAATCTCTTTGAAAAACATGTTACTAATATGCATAACATCTACATATATATATATATAACATCTATATATATATAAATATATATATATATATATAAATATATATATATATATAAATATATATATATATATAAATATATATAAATATATATAAATATATATATATGTGTAGAGGGTAATCTTAATTAAGTTAAAATTTTCATTTATATGTTTATATTATATTAGTCCGATAATATGGATAACGTTTTACAAATAATATGCATTTAATAAAATTTTGTAAATACTTTTTCCTTTTATTTACAAATTAGATAGTTATCGAGCAATTACACTTTTTCATATAACGAGCGTATAATTGCACACAACCCATATGATCTTAGTGAGGATTTTGATAGTCACGACTTCTATTCCTAAATAAAAATGACTTTCAATCAAATTCGTCTTAAACTTGCATAGAGAGCATTTTAAGCCGGCACCTATTTACCGTCGCATTGCAAATCCGCAAAATAGCAAGATGTATACTGTATACTGTTAGTAAGTGATTCAAAACCCATCCGCATTCGGAGGCAGCTACGGAATAAGCTTGAAACAGCCTCAGTCATTCATTTTGGAGTTCCCCTCATTTTTAATCATTTATTTGTATTCCCAATGCTAAAAGCTACATTAAGCTAAAGTTTATGTATTTAATTTTCATAGCAAGCACTAAAGGCAGACAATGCATTCATTTCGTGAAATCGTTTGCAACATATAGAAGGGAGCTTCAAAGTTCCAATAAAGTATATATATTCTTATTTAATATCAAATTTTTAATCAATTTCGCAATGTCCCTGCCTCCTCTACCTCCACTCCCTCGACCGTCTGTCCGTCCGTATAATGTCGGTGGTAAACATTTTCTGGGTATGAAAGTTTTTGAATTCAGATTGGTATTGAAAATGTTCCAGATCGATCAAAGAACACGCCCACAGTACAAGATGAGCTGAGAACGAATCTTTTTTTAAAAAGAAAAAAAAAAAAAAAAAAAAAACAAATTGGTTTATTAGATCACTACTCCTAGAGAAATTTCTTTAAAATTTATATACACTAAGTTGTATGATTGACCCTACAGTCCCTGTACAAAGGGAAATCGCCCGAGTCAACTCTATATTGTAGAGTATCGTATGAAAATATAAAGGAGTGTAATATAGAATCTATTTTTATTTATTTTTTTTTTGGCAGGCATAAGATATTCAACCAGAGCCGAATATCATTTTCTTATATGATGAACTTTATTGATTTTTTTTATAATAAGTATGTAAGAATATTTACAAAGAGTCTCCAAACGAGCTTACAAGTATTTCATCTTGTTTATCTTCTCTCATTTTATGTTTTAATTTTGTTTTATCTTTTTCTTAAACAGATACCGTTACCAAATCATGTCCGTTCTTCTTGGCATCTGGTATCTTTCTATTGCTGAGCTTTATTGTTTTTCTTATACCAACTTGTTCGCATCAAAATAATTTATATTATTTCAGTGCTGGCATTATGTTCATTGTATCAGGTAAGTGTGTTTGTTATATATATACTGCTATTGTCATCATTGTAAACATTTAACAATGTTAAGTAAAAAAAAAAAAAAAACGTTAATGCGCCCAAATTTTCTTTCATTATTTATGTATTGCTCTCCTTTCTATTTATCTCATTTTATAACAGGTTTACTTATGTTTATCGGCTTAATTACGTATATATCGATATTGAAAGCGGAAATTGGGTCAAAGTTACGTCCAAGATCAACATTACAGCCACCGCTATTCAAAGTCACCTACGGGCAAAGTTTCTTTCTATTTGTTTTCGGTTTTATGGCGACAGAATTTGTCGGTTTATTAAATATATTTCTATACATTAGTCTACAAGAAATCGGTTACTATAGTGTAAGTATAAAATTCAATTTGTTGTTTCGCATTTCACCTCACAGCTAACACTTTTTGTAAAATTTGTTTGAAAAATTAGACTTTGAGAAGACAAGTTCAATTTTTATTCCCATAAGGATACAATAGTTTACTTAACTGATTTAATCGTAAGTTTATGTCTGGTTAATTAGCAAATTTATTAAATAGACAGATAACCAACTATGACTATATATATATATATATCAATCGCGCATTTAGATATAGGATATCAGCAGAAATTAAAGTAAAATATGAAAAAGAAATGAGAAAAAAAATATTTTTACAAAATTTCGAATATTAATAAATATATGTAGCAATGAAGCGTTAAATTTTAAAAGCTAAATCAATGCCACGATAAAAAAATCATATATATTTTGATTGAAAAATGGTAACCAAAATTTAGTATAGATATTTCTAGTTGACAGCTGTAAATCTGCTACGAGGAAAGAGTGAATCCACTCGCACAGTCACACCAGCAACAGGAGAGAACATCTAATTTATCGTAAATAAGATATAAATTTACATGTGACTTAAAAACCATAATATCGTGCTATTGTAAGAAAGTTACGGATCGGGTAACTACAACCTTTACAATTTTCACAATTCAGATAAACACAACTTTTAGCTGAAAGCTTTAACAATAAACAAACAAAGCAAGAGAAGAAAAGAAGGACTAGTCGAGACTAGTTCGATTTAGACGGATAAATGTAGTTTCTAGTCTTTACGATCAGCATAGCAAAGCTAATTTTATTTTATCCTTCAATAAGGATCGTTTTCAATCAAGGAACTTCCCATTTACGTCGAATCCTAAATACGTAGAGCTTAAGAGGTCTTATTAGCTCTTGTACAAGATCAATCAAAGTTTCATAGTAAGTGTAACGTGACGATTTTTCTTCTTAACTTAAAAATTCTCATTCTTTTATCATTTGAAATTTGCGCTTGTTAGGTTTTAAATTATCATAGTATATACGGCGGATATCAGTTTTCAACCTAAATGTTTTTATCTTGTCTTTGAAAGTTGTAGTAGTATGCGACAGAAGGCACCAGAGATTAAGTTTAGAAATGTAAATTAATTAAATGTATATACCTCAACACACTTAACATAGTCATAAGTGTAAAATGAAATGAATGAGTTATGGGACCCTTTACTTTCATTCCTAATGCCTGTATATAAAATACGATATCAAAATGTGGTAGTATTAAGACAAGAAAGCTTACTAACGATAAGTTGCGCAAAACGGGTGAAATATATATATGTGTGTGTGTGCATGTATATACATATATACGTGTATGTGTGTGTGTGCTTTTTGTTTGCTATGGCAGAGGTAGAGGTCTTCGAAATTTCTTCTCTAACTTCTATAACCGGCCCGTAAGAACAGGATACACAATTCGCAATCCAAGGCGCCTGCGTACTAAAATTTCCGCCCTCCCCCGGGCGCATTAGTTCGACTCCTCCGCGGGATTTGGTTCCAACTAGTGCGCTCCACGCGATGAGACCGTAATAGCAGAAAACTCTATCGTCTTCCACTTCCTCTTCCCTCCACCCGCTCAATGTCCCCCACGGTGCACCCACAGTTCAGCTGAGCGGCTGAGTTATTGTGGTCGATTCGAAAGCAGCCATGATCGGTCAGAAACTGCGTAAGGTAATAATTTACCTGCCCCCGTCGTCAGCTCATCCACAGCAATACGTTTGAGATTAACGGAAACGTCCGTCTACTTGTCGCCGCTTTTTCACATGGCGATTATCGCCGATTCGCTGAATCGTTTGCTCTTACCCTTTCTGCTTCTTTTCATAAATGTAAAGCCGCGTAAAGTAATTCAATGTGGTTGATGGGATCGAAAACATATATAGCGTAACGGAAGATAATACGACACCCTACTGTCAACAAATTAAACGTGCAGAGCGGGTAATTTAAGTGAAGCGTCCCAAATTGATCAATACAAAAGTCGTCCTTGTTTGTTTATTAACACGGCAAAGATTGAGAGAGAGAGTGAGAGAGAGAGAGAGAGAGAGAGAGAGAGAGAGAGAGAGAGAGAGAGAAAGTGGTTGAGAAATGTCCAAGTATATCACTCTCTAGAAGATGTTTAGGAGGTTTGAAAGGTGTTTCGCTCAGGATTTCCAAAAGTTCTGCCCTGATGGTATAATAGTTTTGCTAAATATATGCGGGAATATCACATACTAGGTTTAATAACGTTTATTTAAAATATATAAAAAAAAAAAAAAAAGAATTCTTTAATTTTGGTGAAAAACGCAACGAACTCTTCTCCTGAACGCTTTACATATCTCAATATACGATATCTATATGTATGTATGCATACGTCGAGTTACAGGCAATTCTAAAAAAAAAAAAAAAACTGAAAAAAAAAACATGAGAAACGATTGCGGTTTCGCATCATATGCCACATTCAGGACTGGACGGTTACAGGACTCTTATTTGCTTAATCGTAAAAGGAAAATCGTTTTATTAACATTTTGTAATAAAAATGAATTAAATCCTTTTAAAAATTTATTTCTCTATGCTGTTGATTCTTCACTTCTGATATTTTAAGCTATTCAACAACTTAATTCATATCATGGCACATAGAGTACATTGAATAATTTTCATTTTTTCATATCCCCCTCTTCTATAATCTTTAAAATTCAACAACAACAACAACAACAAACACTAAGGATTTTCGATAGCCATAGCACCGCAATGTGTGGTTGCTTTTGAAATGCAATTGAAATTACTTGTAAAAACTTTTCAGGAAAGATAGAGATGAGGGTACGAGATACCGATTACGATAGAGGGAACGAGTTAAAATGAAACTATGAAACTGTGGCTTTTATTGCAGCCATCATTTTTTTTGTTTTTATATTTCCTAAAAAGGAAACCAGTAATGAAATAAAAGAATATGTGAAAAAACTGCTAAGGAATTATTTACTTAAAGTTGTGTACGATGAAAGGATTAAGGTATACAGTGTCTGATACAATTGAATGCAAAATAATCGGTTTAAATTTACTTTTTTTACTAGAAAGGAAAAAAAAAAATAAAATAAAATAAAATAATTTCTTTCTTTTTTAAATTTCATTCATTTTTGTCTCAGTTATATGATAAGAAAATGGTACCAAATGGAAAAAATCTTATACCATTTACTGCTTTGTAGCTTATCGCCTATGTGCATTAAAGCCCATTGAATTTATTACACATTTTATTCACAAAACCACTTACAAATGCACATTACTCGTTTAATTCATAAACGACCTAAGACTTTATTTCTAAAATGCTTAAGAGATTTAAGAGAATTTATATTAAGTCAATCTATGCCTGAACTAATTTTGATAAAATGAATCACAGACAGAGTCGCAATTTCAATCACTTATTCATTCGGGAGATTACAATTGAGATGAGCCTAATTAATAATAATAACAATTATTAATGACAATAAAATCTTGCAATAATAATCATCATTATAATTAAGATTGATGTGCCAATAAGATCATAACTTCTCTTCTTTATGGTACGTTTGCGAATATCAATAATATCGGATATGAATATCATAACTACTTTACACGATGCAAGAGCTACGCATAGGTACGCAGTTATGGATTATAGAAGGCTTCAACTGCTGCCAAAAGTTGGTGATATATTGTAACCACAAGTAATTACATTATGAAAAGTATGTATGTATGTATTATTAATCAGCGTGAAATATTAAATCGATATAGTCCCGTATGCTCGTCTTTTTCTCTATCTGGTTGCCTCTTGTTGAAAAGCTAGCGTTCAAAAGTTCATTTTGAAGATGAGTATAAATCGAACACAAAGGCATTGATCGAAAATCTAGCGCAATCCACAAATCATTCCTAAAGTCACCTACCACCAAAGTAGCTAAATACGTAATAAAGTACTCTGCCTAAAGTCAGTACATAATTTTAAATGAAAATTTTCTTCCTTAGATTAGAATTTAACTTTTTGACACTGAAGTGAATGAAACTTTTCAAAGTATATATGACCTATGATAGATATCTCGATTTGCATAACTTTTAATTTAGATAAGAAGATAACAAGTCCATCCGCCTTTAAACTTTATAGTATTGTTTTAAGGTTAGGTTTAATTTCAAATTCAATTTCAATTAATAAACTGCGAATACATGAAATTAATTGAGAGCAAAGATACTCTCAGAATGTTCTCTCTCAGATGTTGTTCTGACAGAACAACATGAACTTGTGGCTTTGTTACGCATTGGTGATTCTTGCCAATTTTGATAGAACCAATATATTGATTCGATTTTACTTGAGAAATATATGAAAGCAGCTATGTTTTCAAAGATTAATCTGACCATTTTGCCATTCATAGACATTCACACTATTGTTCTAAATCAATTTGATTTCATTTTTCATAGAAATATGCTCAACTAAAATCGTAACATCGCTTGATGCGTTCTCGTATTAGAATTTACTTATCTTTAAATTTATTTCAAAATGAAAAGATTGCATAGAATAAAATGTAAAACGCAATTTATTTAAGTTTATTTCTTACTTTTTGCAAACTGAACTTGTGCCAATTTCAATATGAACGGCTCATATAATCTTAGATAGTCGCGATGAAGTTCTCTTTAAATTCACTTGACTTTTATTAGTTTTATACTATATACCAATACATAAACACCCACACACACACACATGCATGCATGCATTCATGCATGCGTACATACATACGCAAGCACACACACACACACTGTTCAACAAATTTAACAAACCACTAATAACACCTTTCAACGCGAACGCGACATCAACAGTATAATGTCTGCCATTCATTTTTCATTTATCCACCTATAGCGATTACCATGTTTTACGTTAACAAGTCTAAAGCAAAAAATCAAAGAAGGCGAAAATCACTGCAATCACAACTACAAGCATTATAAAAAGCATGAAAAAGAGCAAACAGGAGCGGCAGCAGCAGCAGTCGCATCAGTGACAACAACAACAGCAAATAGTAATGAACGTAGAAAAAGTAATCACAACAAAAGACATCAAATACACATGACAGGGCGACGCGAATCGGTATCGTTTGAAACGAAGAAGAATTTAAAGAATAGCATGCATGAAAATGATGTAGAGATAGCGTTCACGTGTCGTAAACATCCCAATAGCATGGCATCGACTATGTTCTTAAATGAACTGGAAAAGAGGTAAAATATAATAAAAAAAAAAAAAAAATGAAAATAAAAAAAAATAAAAAAAAAAAAATAAATAAGAGAAAAAAAACAATTTTTTATTCACATTCATTCGCACATTTGTTGTATTTCCGTTTGCCTTCATTTTTCGCAACTTGATAATTGATATTTACTGCTATTGTCCACGCTACGCAGATATTATTTTGAGAGACCAGCAAATAAATGCAATTTACATGCACATGCAAAAAATTTGGCAAAATCCATGAGCGAGCTATACAACAATTGCGAACGATTGTCGCCCATGGTGACGGTAACGCCGCCACCACCACCGTCGCTTACGGCGTTGCAGGCGAAAGACATGAATCATACAACTTTGCCACGACCACCAGAACAATTTAGTGATTTACCGCAAGAGTTTCCTTTAACACGCAGCATTTCTACAACAACAGACATTTATACGTACAGCAACGATAGATTAAGTCATATGGCACATGTGCCGGAAAGCAACAACAGTAGAGATTACAACCGCAAACGCAATGTGGCGACAAGTACACGTTGCAACAACATCGACACTGAAACTCAAACAATTGGCAGCAGCAACAATAACAATAAAACTAAAAGTACTAACTTCAAAATTCAACAGCTGGATAGCAACTATAGCGAGAAACGACCTAAGAATCGTAATGGCACCGCAACCGCAAGGGAGAATCAATGCGAAAACGAAGACGACGTTGAAGTATCGCAAAGTCTTTGCGGTTTAAGGAGAGGTATAAAGAAAACTAAAGATGAACTCTTTGAAGAGTTTTGCAAAAGGGCTGGCGTACGTCCAAAGCCAAAGAATATTTACTATATTACAGGCGAGGAGAATGCCGACAATGAACAAGATGAACGAATTGATGACATAAAACAACAATGCAAGTCCCAGAAATCAGCACTTGTATGCACCAAATTCATGCATAAAGAAGCACATGATAGCCAAGGAAACGCGAATAAATATCCTGGTGGTGGCGTTCATCCAAACGACGATGTTGATGACGATGTTAGTAATATTTCGATTGTAAACGATAATGATATTGATATTGAAGATGATAATAATGACGTTGACGCCGTTAATGACATAGATATCACTAATGACAATAACAACATAGTTAACGTTGATGTTTACAATGAAGAGGACGAAGAGGAAGATCTCAAGAAATTTCCACGTGGTGAACAAACATTTCATTTCATGAATGGTAAGTGAAAATAAGCTTATATTTAAATGTTAGCCATAATCTTACGAAAGTGTATAATCATTAAACTAATTTCCCCATCTTCGTGGCTTTGATTTAACAGATAATTCCAAGTTTATACAGCAAGGAATGCGTTACAATCGTCGCGCTTCGATGTACGTCGAACCACATCACTTAAAACGTCTCAACTCGCAATTATCGCTGCATGGATACTACGCACCATCGGTTAGAATGATTCAGAAGAGCCTGTACGATTTGGATAATATACCACAAGATATGGCTGAACCACATTATCAAGAATGCAGTACATACGGCGGTTCACAAAGTCGTCTAACTCTCGACTCTAATAATCAGTCTATATATCAAAGTCGTACATTGCCGAGAACTTTCTTCAAGCGTAACTCTGATTCCCAATATAGCATACCTTCCGCAGCGTCATTGCACTTAAGCGCAGCACAATTGAATAATATATATAACGTCAATCAAAATCGTCTATCCGCATTGATGCAACAGCAACAGCAACAGCAACAACAACAACAACAGCAATTTAATCGCATATTGACTGGCACATCACGTCAGCCAGAAGGATATGATCCGCATATTGCAATGAAAAAATCGAATGAAGAATTGGATAATTGTTATGGACAAAGCCAACAGCAGCAACAGCACTCGATTTATATGCAGCCACCATATCAAACCATATCCGTTACGAACTCGTACAATTCAAATCGCTTACAGCCACCCTTGGTACAATGGCCAGCGGCAATACCATCGTCGCCCTCAAACTTTACAAGTACTTATCGCATTTATGATCCTACCACAACTAAAATCAAAGCACAAGGTAACAATCAAACAACTTTAGTGAAACGCGGCATTGTCAGCGAACATCAAAATCAACATACAGCAAAAATGCAAAGGACTTATGGATTCGATGCACAAAAACGTAACAGCACAGCAGTGGCAGACGGCTTCGATTTGGACGAAATTGAGCGTGAACGCAGACGTTCGCATGCCAGTCTTTTTAATGGTAGCAAGACTAGCAGCGGTATGGGTAATAATGGCACTGGTCTCGGTAGTTGTAGTGGCAGTGGTGGTGTTAATACTGGAGGCGTTCTCAGCGGCAATCATAACCAATATGACATGATTAATGGCACCGCTGTGTAAGAGCGATATATAAAACATGTTAAATTCAAATAAATTTTGGTTTCGCAACGCATAAAAGAAATAAAAACATATATATATATATATATATATATATATATATATATATACTAAAAGCATTTCATTAAAAAGAATAAAAAAAAAATGAGAAAATAAATTATTAAAAATTAAAATCAAATAAATTAAATTTCATAAAAAATGTAGTAGTGGTAGTTAAATCAAATACCAACAGAAATAAAACAATAGAAAAATCAACAAAAATATATTAAAAAAAATAAAAAAAAAAGGAATAAAAACAACAGTGAAAATGCAACAAACAAGAACACTGCCACAATGTTTATGTGAACAATTTAATTAAATTATTTACTTATACATAAATACGGACAAACATACTAACATTTTGAAATTTTGCATTTTATTGTAAGTTTTAAATTTAGACTGAATACGCAACAAAAGCAAACAAAAAACAAAACAAAACAAAAAAAAAAAAAAAAGAAGAAATAGCAAACTAGCTGTACTTTTATGTGGTTTCCTTTATTAAAATTTTATAGAACACATGTACTTATGTATTTATACCTATTCTAACAAAAATTTAATATGTAAGTACATATATTAGTTTGGATGTATTTTTTCTACATATATTTTTGATTTTTATTTTTTTTTTTTTTTTTACAAATATACACGAATGTATGCATGCACGATAATAACAATTTTTGTGAGCCATACATCGGGTTTTTTTTTTT